AAAAATTTAATCTCGAGTTAATATCTTTAATGATATTATATATTGGCTTTCATAAATTGATAATGTATATTTTGTAGATAATTTTTAATAATTATATTAAAATATATAAATTATATAAAAATATAAATTATATTATATAAATATATAAATTATATAAATATATTTTGTATATTTCTTTTGCACAAAATTATATATCAAACTTTAAAATTTATATAAGTATAAAATTGATAAAATTTTATATATAATTTTATGTATTTATTTTTTTTTATTCTCATTGATAATTATTATTAATAAATAAAACATTTTAAATTATTTCTAATTTTTCTTACAATAATTAAAACTCCGCATACATGAAAATATAAAATTTTTAATTGATAAATATGAATCTATGCAGAAAGAATAGATAATATCGCATACAACTTATGAATCATACATTTTATGTGTAAAAACGAGTGAACATTTCGTTGTGATTTAATGTTACATTGATTATTGTCTTAAGTTATTATTCTGAGTAACTATTCAGACCAACGACTTCATGGTACGTTTAATAATTGGAAATAAAAAAGATTATAAATATTATGATAAATTGCATCATATAATTTTAATTAATTTATTTTTATAATATAATATAAAATAATATAAAACTCTTTAAATTGTTAATTAAGAAAACTTTAAACTATTAAAATAAAAATATGCAGTTTATTTAAAAAACAAATTAAAAAATAATTTAAGCAAAATATTTTATAATTTATAATTTTTTATATTAAAAAATAAATTATTCGTTTTTTCATATATATTATTAAAAAAAATACTTATACTAAAAAAAAAACAAATAGCAAAATGATATAAATATAATAGAAAGATATTATAGAAAGATGAAATATATAAGATATTTAACAATATTTTAGTGAAAAATTGATTAAATGATAAATTGTTTTCAAAAATAACATGTCGTAAATTTATATTTGCTATTGAAAACAAAGAAATTAATATAATAAATCCTAGTTTTACTACCTTTACTATCTTTCGTTATGTAATGTATCTCACGAAATCATTTTTTAGTTTCATTCAATATGATTTAATATATATATTATTCAAAGTACGTTTCATTGAAGTGTATATATGCCATAAATTTTACGTTATCTTTGTAACATTGTATTCTGAGAGACGTAAATAAAAAGAAGTAAATGCAATTAACATTTAGACAATTCTAAGTTATCATAAAGTTAATAATCTTTTTATATTAATTTTTATAAATATTATGCATTGATTAATTATTCTATATGTTTTAAAACTAAATATGAAAAATAATTATATGATTAATTTTAATAATAATAAAAGAAATTAATATTGAGAAATATGTATAAACATGTA